CCCTCTCTTTTTCTCTCTCTGTCTCTCTGTGTCTCTCTCTTTTTCATAGGCCTAAGTGGATCACACGCGGAACCGTGGCGGTGCTGTGCCCGAGAACACGGTGAAATCTCGGCCGGGATCGGTCGTTGAAATTAAATGCAAATAGTCCGCAGCGGTCGACGCCGCTGTAAAATATGTTCCAAAAGGATGCCCGGGGCTGCTGCAATCTTCCTTTGCCGATAAGATCGCCATGCTAAAAATAAAACGGTTCGTACGCGAGGCCGTATTGAGCCGGCACTACGTACGAGTTGTTGCACGGTACCAAAAATTTACGACGGCCTACGGTACAAGGATTTTATTAAGATTGGCGCCTGGAGGAATGCAAGCTTAACGGGTCGCCCTGGCCCAGCCTTCTTCTTCCTCGACCAGCATCTCGATCCGTTTGCTCCCACTTGAACGAACACCGTTCGACAAAATGATAAGGCCCCGAGAAAATAATTTTCACGCGTCTATAACGATCGATCGCTGCACCATAGTTCTCCGGACAAAGATTTGGCTTTTCGAGGCTGTACAGGATAATAACTTTATCAATCGTGAATTAAATCGAATATTTTTCATCGAATCCGATACACGATATTACGATTATTTCGCTAGTCCCTCGTGACAGTGAATCAACGAGTCACGTGAACTTTTGATCGTAGGTGTGAATTGGCTGGCGTTCCAATTGTAGAGACGTCAATGCTTGGTAACAGGTATCGCCCACGTGAAAGAAAAGAGTGGAACAGAAAATGGGGATACGTATATGGAGAACAGATCGAAGTATGATTGTAGGTACCGTCGTACTAATGCAGATAATTATCGGTCGCAGGAAGAAAGAAACGCGCCAGTGGTCGAGATAACTGTCTCCTTTTTCATCCCTCGGAAAACGATACGTGATACAGCGAGAGGAATAGATGAGTTTCGCAAAAAGCCACAGTATTGTCTCCGTAACATTAATCGCTGGAACTAATTGAGCGTGTCGTTACTTGCAGGATTTCCTGTCGGCACGTTAAATAACAATGCCGAGGCCTTCGAACATCGTAGATGGACCGTGAAGATGGACGAACTGCGGCGTCGAAGGTTGCTAGCAAGGTCGCGTGTCTCGCCGCATTTCTGATGACAGTGGAACAAACGAATCGAAACTTATTAGATCAATTCCCAAGGTTTCAATAGGTTCGTAAGTATACTTGAAACTTCCGTGGATCTTAGATACTTTAGCTAAGCTATTTGCTAAATATTCGAGTACATCTGAAAAGATACTATTGCGCTTGAAACCTTCGTGTTTGAGGACTGCTGGATCCTTTAGGTTCATAGAAGGTAACAGGCAATTCCAGGACTGAACAAATAGACTATTTTAAAGAAGTTCGTATGTCCGTTCGAGTGGCCAGAGAGTTTCTAAGCATTCAAGAGTGGAACGAGAAGATCGGTGACAGAAAAATCGGCCGGTCTCGGGAACTTCCGCTATTTATGTCGTCGATTTGCCCAGCGAACCTGATCGCAGCTCTTGCGACCGCTTGAACGTGGGCGTGAACTTTTCAATAAAGCCGGTCTCTCTTTCTCTCTCTTTCGCGGATGCTTGGCTGAACGCGTGTATCGGGATCAATGACACGCCCGCAGATTCCCGAGAGGTATCCTCTACGAGGTACGTAGAGGCATCCTGTAGAATTCCAACCACCTTCCTCGACTTCACAGCAGGACCTACTGGTTTCTATTTATACACCGCGCGAGACCTTGCAGCTTACGGCTCGCACGCTTACGGACTCTGTTCCGGACCGGTTCAAAGCGCTGTCGGGACCCCTCCATCCTCGTGAAAGGATCTATAGATCGTTTAAAATTAATATTACATTCAGCGGTGTATTCGTTCCCTTTTGAATTCAAGAATTCGTCGGTTCGTTTTCCCCTCTTGTTTCTTCTGTTGAAATGTCGTCGAATTTTTCCACGGTCTTTGAATACGGAAATTTACAAGTTTTCCTTAAAACGCTTGGACGGAGTTACGGACGGAGATGTTAAGCTTCGTGAGGAAAAAAATATTATTTTCTGGTCTCAAGAAGGCATTAATTTGCAGAATATTTGTTCGTCGTAATTTTTGAAAAGAATATTCTTGATTCTCCTGTGGAAGTAGCGATTTTTTAAAATCTTTCATACGTTTGAGTTTCTTGGGATGTTGGGAAGTTAAGTAGTTATTGAAAAATAACAGAACTCTTGTCTGTGAACGTTAAATGTTAATAGACGTAGTGTATATTTATTAATTACTGGAAGATCTATTTTAAAGGAGTATTTGATTAACATCTGTCGGTTAGTTAACAAATACCACACCCGAGGTTCCTATCCATCGATATATATCGAATATAATTCCTAAACTGGTCTCTCTAAATCGTAGAGGGCATAACAAAACGTTCGATTTTTTTACACGATCGGTACAGTACATGGAAATCATGTCTATTTAATTACGTATTTGAATTTCAAGTTAATAAGCATAATTGTATTTTAATATATAGAAAACCAAATTGGGAAACAAATATTTTTTTCTTATAGAATTTCATTAGTATAGTATTAATATGGTAGTCCCATCTATCATATCGTTGTTGTACTATAGTTTGCAGGACTCTTCCCATTCATCTATTCTCTTCTATCACCCGATAGATGGCACGACCATTCACTTTCCGCGCCTAACTTATAATTTTGTTAAATAATTAATTATTCTCTAATGCTTGATGTATTTATTTGTACAAATATGATAAAAAATGTATTATTTACTATTATGTGTTCTATAGCTAGACTTGAATTTTATGGTATAGCATTAACATTCATGTTGCGGTGATTTCATCACTGTTTTGATGGTTGTCCGTGCTTACAAACATTTGTCAGATAAGATATTCCTTGCGGCGAAGTGTTGACGCAAATAATTTTACTATTAAATTAGTTATTCTCCGTTACATTAGAAACAATATGGGTGAAAGGATATCAGAACTTTTCAATTCGTTTCAGGACTATGTAAATAATGAAGAAAAATTACGTGAGGTATGTGTTAAAGATTTATTATTGATACACCTCGTATGTTAAATATTATTAATCAATTTTAATACAACTTTTGTACAAGATATAAGCTCAGCACATATATTTGGAACATTAAATCTTCCATTTCTTCCACACGTTTTGAAATTACAAGTAATCGAAAGTATTTTATATCATGTTCCTTCGTTTGTATGTTTTAGGTTAGAATTTGTTTTAAAATTCATTTTGTTTTTCATTATAATTTTGAATTTGAAAAAGTTGTATATGTAAGTAAGTACACTAATCAATATATGAAATCACTTATATTTCATTTTCTTTTGCTGAAGGAAATCCGTATCATAGTGAGAGATCTTGAAAAGTCTTCCAGAGACATTCTGATGTTATTACAGAACATCCATAATGAAAATAACTTGGAAGAGAATATAAGTATGTGTATGCCTCATATATTCTTACATAGTCAAAAGAATTATTATTGTTTCTTTCGCAGTTGTATCTCAATATTGCTCAGGAGCCAGAAAATTATTCGAAGATGTGCGTAAACATTATGCAAAACTTGCAGAAGTTGTACCGAAAGATGAATATTATAGATTTCATGATCAGTGGCGTTTTGTGACACAAAGATTATGTTTCTTAGCTTCATTAGTAATTTATTTAGAGATTAAGGTTTTAGTTACAAAAGAAGTTGTTGCAGAGATGTTGGGAGGTATGTGATTATAAGCTACATTTATATTCAATTTAATGTTTCAATGCTTATCTGCATTCTGTTATGCTAATGTATAGTTAAAAACAACAAAGAAGATGGTTTCCACTTAGATCTGGAAAACTACTTAATGGGTTTATTACACTTGGCTGAAGAATTGGTATGTATAATATATATTTTAAATATAATAACTGTTTATTTCATGTGTTTTTTTCAGAGTCGATTTGCAGTAAATAGTGTTACAAATGGGGATTATAATAGACCTATAGAAATTGCACGATTCATGAATGAATTAAATGCTGGCTTCAGACTTCTAAATTTAAAAAATGATGCTCTAAGAAAACGTTTTGATGGCCTAAAGTATTCTCTTAAAAAAGTGGAGGAAATAGTTTATGATCTCAGTATTCGTGGTTTAAAGTCCTGTTCAAACCCAGTTAGCCAAGAAACAGAGTAACTATTTTATAAGGATAGTTTATAACATTATTACTACTACTAATAATATATATATACATATAGAAATGTATATAATAAACAACTAAAACAGCCATTTTTACATTAATACTTACGAAGCTTTATGGATTGTGAAAATTATTTATTTTAATATAATTAATAACCTTCATGTAAGTTTACTTTGTTTAACAAGTCTTCACCTTTAACGAATTTCTGGTAATTCTTAGCAAAAAAATTTGCAACATCCTGAGGACGAGTTACGCCAGAAATGTGTGGTGAGAGAGTAACCTGAATGAAAATAATCATTAAAGTTACTTATGTTTAATTAATAGATCTTATTCCGTATAAAGTATATAACATTTACATGTGGTAATGTCCATAATTTACTATCTTTTGGCAGTGGTTCTTTTTCAAAAACATCCAATATTGCTCCTGAGATCCATTGTTGCTGAATAGCATTTATTAAATCGACTTCTTTAATAATACTACTTCGACCTACATTGATGAAAACAGCTCCACGGTCTTTGCAATTCTCTAACATATTCCCATTTAATAAACCCAAGGTATTGGGGGTGGATGGCAGAACATTAACAATGTAATCACATTGTTTTAACACTTCAGGTAAAGATCCAATTGTTCTATGCTCATCTAAATAGTTCAATTTTTCTTTAAGTTGTGTTCTTGTTATGCCCCATGTAGTGGCTCCGAAAACTTTTAACTTCTGCGC